CTTTTTGTTCCAAAAGGGCTACTTGTGGGACCTATTTGTTACATGCAGTACATGCTGTTATTTCCAGCATGTACTTCTGATTAAACCATTTTTTGTTGAGAAGAGCACGATCCTTTCCTCCTTGGAGTTAAACCGTCATTTTATATTCTCTTGGTGGTGACTTTTCCATTACAAGCAAATTGGCAAAGCATAGAAAAGGTTGTTTAGTTGGTTTGCTTTTTATTTTTCCTTAATGTGACAGCAGCTGAAAAACCTGTGTGTCTGGGCTGATGACTATTTTAGGAATTATCACGCAGTAAAATGCTTTTGGCAAACTGTTGCCAAGTTTCTCACCGTGATGCTGCAAATTCTGAGCATCCCGGTATGGAATGATCCGGCAACGTCTCTCACCTTGGCCTCGCGTTGCCAGGGCTGGGTGTGATGGCGCAGGAGGGTGCTTGACCCCTTCTGCCAGTGCTGCGGGGCTCTGATTTTCCTGCCCGTCCGTGGGAGAGGTGGCTGGGAGGGTTTGGTATCTGCTCTTCAACATCAATAGGAAAATTAAGTGTTGGTTACTGCCTGCTTGTGTCACGTCATGGGGCGTTACAAAGAGCGTAGGTTTCAGCATTGCACCTTCTGCTGCTGGGCAGCGTTGTATGTGCGTTGGGGTGTTTTAGGAGAGGCGCTGAGAATTGGGGCAGTGCGGGTGAGGTGCTGGAAATGAAGAGTGGCAAGTGGGTTGAGCAGAGAAAACGCTCTGTGGTCTTTGACCCCTCCAGACAGTCCCGTGCATGGAGAATTGAAACCAATAAATAAATAGAAGGTTTAATAAGGGCTTGCAAGGCCGGGCAGTGATGAAAATATAAACACCGAGGGCCGCAACACGGGCCCTGGGCCTCGGCGCGGCCCAGCAGCCCCGGGCTGCCGTGAGGGGCCAGGCCGGACTCTGCTGCCCTCTGGCGGCCGCCCCCGCCGGCCGCGGCCCGCGGAGCTCCGGGCCGGAGGGAAGAGGGCGCGGGGAACGGGAAGTGCGGGGTCTCAGCAGCCGGTGGGAATCGGGGGATCCGGGTTTAGTTTTGTGCCAGCGAGGTGGGAACTAAGTGCTGCCGAACTGATCCCGGCCCTGCTGCGCTTCGGGCGGCGCTTGCCGGCGCAGCGGTGAGTCATTGTGAGTTTCGGCGCTGTGGGTAAGCCCGCGGGGCCTAACCCTTGAGCGGTGGAAGGCAGCGCACCAGCCCGCCCGCCCGGCTGCTGGGAGCTGCGGTGGCTTATGTCATCCAGACGTGTGGCCCCGCACGAAACTTGAACAAAACAAATGTAGAAAAACGAGTTCGGTTCAGAGTTCCTTCCATGCGGGTTCCTCGATTAATACCGGCTCCCGCCATTCAGCCAGCAACACCTGGAGCAGCTGCCCAACGCAACCAGTTCCTGTTGAGGACAGCCCTAGAGCTCCTCTGAAACAAGCCCTCCACCACTTCGCCCTGCACAGAGGGGTGTCAGGCCCCTCATCCCTCCCTCAGGACTCTGCTAACCCGGACAAAAAGCATGGCACGCTGCATCCCTGCCTTTAGGATGACCCTTGAATACCTGGCCGGCTCCTCGACACGAGGATGCCGGGTCCGTCCCCCCGTGCCTTTGGCACGCAACGTGCTGCGGGCAGGTGAATCGCGCCGGGCCAAGGTGAAGGTCGGGGTGTTTGCAGGCAGGCTGCGGTGCGTGCTCAACTCGGGATGCTCTGTTCCAAAGCCTGGCTTTGCCTCCTGGCTGCTGCGCTGCTGCCCGGTACACAGGGGCAGGAACAGCCTTTTTGTTCTGCCTTTGCACAGTGCCTAGCAACACACGGGCCCTGGGCTACGAGTGGCACTTCTAGGGACTTCTGCAACACAGATAATAACGTTTATTAAAATAGACTTAGGAAATAAAGGCTGAAGTAACCCAGGAATATGTTTGACAATCAGGATGAAGCATGAAAGGTAGAATGCTTCTCTAATGCTAACTTGCTTTCCCTGGCATCTGTTGTATATATATATATATATATATATATATATATATATAAAGTGGTTCATACACTAGTATAGTGTTTCCCTAATGAATGTATTCTAGAAAATAAAAATCACACAGGTTCCCAGAGCAAAACTAACAGTACCTACCTCTATTTCTGAAATTATTTTTTTTTTAACACAAAAAAAGGAGAACCACCTGACACTTGAGTAAAGGAGTCGGGGGAAAGGATGGTACAAGTCAGCTGTGACAGCCAGAAAATTTACATGACAAATATCTAAAATAGTAATTTCTCTCTCTTAAATCACTGTTAGATATTTTTTGCAATTTTCTTTGATGGCAGCAGCTGCCTTCAAATTACCATGGTTTCAGAGATATCCCATTACTTGGCAGTGTGTCACTGTGACCTTCTTTCTCCTCCTTCCATCCCTCCATAGAGCTCACTATATCTCTCTTTAAAAATTCTGCCCAAGTGACCAATTCTGTCCAATGTTCCACTCTCCCACTCTCATTTGGAGAGGACAGAAAAACCGTCCTGGCATAGAAAATGTCATTTTATCACTTCAGCATCTCTCTTTCTGCTTGTATTTTTGCACTGACATGGCAATGGCATTAAGAGGAAACATTTAGGCATGTAATGATCTTTCAGCTCACACAGGGACAAAGCAAGTCATAAAACCAGGAAAAATTTCTTAGTGTCATTGTTGAAATCCTGAGTTTACGTATGTATCCATTCTCCTACATGTACCTTTAGAGGTAATGAAGGTAAGTAGCATCGTAGAGGACAGCTTTTCAGGCAGTGATGAAACAGTGACTTACCATCCGTGCCTTGGAAATTTGACACAAAACTTCAACAGAGGAATAAAAAGAATGCAGATGCCCATTTCCAACATATGCAGAGCAGATTTGAACCTGGAACTTGGGGCTTAGCAACAGAGCAGGTTAAATGTTGCCTAGTATTCGAGTTTCATTTGGGTTTGTTTCTCTTTTGGTACAAATCTAATGTTCAACAAATTACAGTTATAACTACTGAAAAAAATAGGAGCAAAGATTTCAGATGTCCTACTAGGGCTGCATTTGCAATAAACTGGTGTTGGTTTTTTTGGTTGCTCTCCAAGGCAGTATGGTGACATCACCCTCTTGCTGCTACATGGCACTAAGGTGACTGGATTTTCTAGGGCAGTAATTTCTTTGCAAGATTGCATCGCTGTAATTCTAACTAGAATACGCTTCTTACTTTGCTGCTGTATACTTGTAATGCTTCTCTGCTGTAGAACTTCTGTTTGTGCGTAAGTGTTCCTTAGCAGAGGGACAGACTCGCGCATTGGCATCTTTCTGGTCAGGTTCTATATAGAGCAGCACAAGTTCTGAGATAATATACTTGAGTGATCCAAGTAATTTCCAAAGAACTGTGTAAAACAATGAATGGAAAAATTTGAGGTTTTCATGACAATGCTGTTACAAAGACCATTTTTAGCTGGTAATTGTCATCTACCTCTGCACCAAAATACAATCATGGAGGGCCTTTCAACCACAAAAAATGTTAATATGCTTTAAAAGTGTCTTGAGACTTTGTCATTTATGATCTTTATAATTCATACGTTCATGAAAGTGACTCCTCCCTGATGTGGCAATAATTTAGTACTGCCGCTTTACAAAATATTTTACTATTCACTGTTGTTAAGAGGCGGGAAAAAAACTCAAAACACTAAATACTTTTTGACAGTGTATTTTTCATATTAAATCCCTTTTGTTTGCTTACTCACTCCCCCCGTCTGCAAAATCTGTAGTGCAGGAGAAGCACTGCATGCCTACACAGGTTCTATCAGGCAAACCTGAGTTTCCCCTGTGTTCTGAGTTGACCAGCTGTGAACAAGAAGACTTTTGACAGCTTATTAGTCCAGGTCTGCACTGTGCTACTGAAGTTTTATGAATTCTTCAGCTGGCTTGCTTTTAGCAAACTTTGGAATGTGAGCAAAACAAGCTCAGATATGTCTGTTCAGCCCAACACACGCAGATCCACAGCCACTGAGAGTGGGAATTATATTGCATTTAGACTATAAAAGTCCAAAGTCACAATCCTGTAAATCCCCCTCAGCTGTTATCTAGTTTGAGGAGGCAGTTCTATTCTGTATAACATCTTTATTTTACCTCAGCAACCTATGTTTGAGTCAGACTGAGTGAAATCCAAAATGCATTCTTTTACCCAAACCACTGGAAGGCTTGATGTAACAGATGATTTTACAACATGGCTAACAGGTAGTGACATGACCTACTACTGCCCCTTGTTCCTTCTTGCCTTGTAAAAGCCTAGAGCATACTTCTCTTCTCTTGTTGGGAAGGTTGAAGCCTGCATTTCCTAGCTCCCAACAGACTGCAGGATGATCCAGGAGGATAGATTCCACCCTCCCTATTAATAATAAGAGTATCTGAGATTCTTTAACATCATGATTACTGCTCTACTGCTTCAGTTTGTAATCATGACAAAGGAAGGGTTCCACCACCTGTTTTAGGAACTATGATGTATTTCATAATAGTCACTTGACAGATAAAATCCAGAAGCAGACTATAAATGGTATCAGGATTAGATTCCTGGTTCTACAAGAACAAAGCTTTTAAACTGCAGTTTTAAACATGTCATTTCAAAATGTGACTCCTGATGTAGTTGCACAGAACACAGCATAGCAAGGCTCAGATACTGCAGTTCTTTGCATCACCTTAAGCAAAAAAATAAAGCTATTACAGTATGATTTTGGTTGTTCTACACCCCCTGACAAGCATTAATTCTATAGAAGTAATTTGTTTTATACGAAACTAGCAAATTCTAGTCTAGTCACAGGTAAGTTCTAAAGTGGCAGCTACTTTGAAAAATTAAGACCCTACTTAATTCAGTTTTAGGTCCCATCTGGACTAGGGTATGGAAACTGGGACTCACGCAAAGATGCAATGCCCTCAGTCCAATGTCAAGTAAGAAAAGCAGCCAGTACTATTAGGCTCAATGCCTACTAAAAATAGAAAACTCTTTGTAAACACCTTTTATTGACAATGTTTTGCAAACACCATAGTTCACAAGTACTGTGCAGAAGCTTCATCCTTTGTAAAACAAAATATATTTCTTGTCACAAATTACAAAGTTTTTTGATCAATGCAAATTGCCTGTCTGCACAGATCTGCAACTGTTTTCCCCCGAAGCATAAGCAAACAAGTATTTTTGTATAAAAATTCACAGAAGCAGTAGAAAACTATTTTTCGGCTCTGTCTCTCTTACTGTTGGTTTCATCACAAAGTGAAGACACTTGGACATTCTTCAATAGTATAGTCAGTCTTCATATTACATCTACTGTTTGGTCTCTGTTTCCATCTGAGTTTCTTGAGATTCTTCAGCTTCTGAAAGTTTTTCATCATCTGAAATTCAATATTACTGTTAATCAAACATGCCTGATTATATTTACAGACCACATTGCAGAGCTGTGTCTCACTTAAATATTTTATGTTGATTGCCTTTAAATGTGTAGTTGAGTATCTCATTATACAAAATGTTATGTTCAAATGAAAAAAAAATGCTTCCAAGTTTTTGTAACAGATATTACAGGAAACTGTAATAGGGGGGTAAACTCTGTAGTATCGATACTATGAGGTAAACTCTGTAGTATCAATTCAAGCACACAGTACTGGATTGCTTCAAATTACATGGCTTCTCTTTGCCTATTAATGGCTCTCAAGCTGTTCCTTCTGCTAAAATGTTATTTCCTTCACAAAATTCTAGAAGCTGAAAGGTAATCTATACACTCATGTGAAAATGTATTTTAGAGACTAATACTTCATCAAGTATTAGTAACACATAATAACAATAACCTTCTGCTAAAGTGCACCTAGAATTAACAGTTCATTCTGCTTAAGAAGATCTAGACGGCCTTAGAGAATGAAAGTCTGCTCTTACAGCTATCTCCGTACGTTATTCAGGTCATGCTCAGAGGCCCTACCAATTATTCCGTCTCGGAAAGACATGGCAAAAATCCCAGTAAATAATATATAAAACAGTATTATGCATATTAGAGCATGAAAAGTAAGCACTGATTTGAAAATATTAAGTATTTGTATGACAAAAATGAGTATGACTAAATTCCTGAATTTCGCTCTTGTGTATGACAGTTTTAGTCTCTGCTCTATCCCAGACACACTGTCTGAGTAGGTAAGTTAGCTTTCCTGTATTTCATTTTCTCTTTAGTAAAGCCTCAAATGATACCATGATGGCAGTGACATGTTCAAAACTACTAAAACTGGAATTATACAAATTAGTTTGGAAACTATGTACAAGAATACTTTTCTGTAAGAAATCCTTTTTCTGTTAAAAAAAAACCCCGCAACCTCAAATCACCATTATTCACCCCCACATTTTAAAAAAGTCTGTTGCCTACAGGTTAATTTGAAGCTGGTCAGGAAATGATATGGTGGCTAGCTTGTAGAAGAAAAAAAATTCTGAGCAGTCTCAGGCTCTGGACTACTATTGAGAAAAAAAATGCCACTGGTGCAAGAGGTCACCAACCTCAATTGCACATAGTTAGCCCACTGCTGGAAGCTGCGATGTCTTTTGATCCACTGAAACCCAACCCAGTTATATATATTACTTAAAAACACCACTTACTTTCCAGGGTTTGCTGAAGTTCATGGATAGTGCTCAGGAGAACATGAAACTGTTTTCTTCTCAGCTCCAACTGGAACAATAAAATATGTATTTTAGGAAACAGAGAGCACATACAGCCAAACAGCCTATAGCAGATCCTCCAATAATTATGTTCCTAATAAATACTTATATAACAATCTCTATGAAAAACCTACCTTATCTTCGACATTTTCTTTAATGTGAGAAAGATGTTGCAGTTCTTTTCCCAAAGCTTCTAGCTGCCTGGAAAGAAATTGTCATAGCATTTTTAAAAAATTCTGTAAAATTATTGAAAAACAGATTTGAACTAAGTGGAGGAAAAAGAACCATTAAAAAACCAGCATAGGTAAACAAAGCATAACAAATTAAATGACAGAGACACAAATGTTAAATTATTATGTCATACACTTGTAATTTCAGGACTTGTTTTCTGTAAAAGGCCTGCAAGCTTGAATACAGTTGTACACTGGGCATTTGGACTGTAACAATTCAGTCCTGACACAAACATGTTATTTACTTGACCATACAATGAAAGTTTAATGTAACCCACTGATTTAACACCCACGGCACTTTCATAGGCTTCACTACTTCACCAATTTCTTTATGTTGATATGCATAGATTACATAAAAACACAGCATCAGCAAGGAGAACATATCTGGTAAACCTACATACCCAACATACAAACACAACAATTCCCAGACACAACAATTGACCAAATACATAGTCAAGTACCTTATCTCTGTTAATGGCCTGACCAGACAGAGTACTGGATAGCATGTAGACTTTACAGTAGGCATGTGTAGAATAATCCACATTTCTGATGAAACTACATGATATAATTTATGCCTTAGCACACAGAATTTAACACTGTGATCCATATAAATACTCATTTCCTTCTCAAATGTCAGTTTTTCTTTTAATTGATTGTCTCTGGCATTGAGAGATAAAGGACACATGCAACACCTATAATCTTCATTATTATTCATATCCTTTTGAAATACATCATCTTTCAACAACTCTCCAGGATCTTTCTGCAAGCATCTGACTGTTTTCTGTTCTCACTTGGACCCACCATGGACCACCACAACCCTTTCTGACATAGGGCAAAGAATAACGTGTACCATAATGTATATTAGCTTTCAAATGAGGATGGATCATCAACAATTACACTCAAACCTCCAGTTTGGCCACTCTACTTTTCCTCTAATGGCTACCATAATTTATGCTCCAAGTAATGAGAACAATCTGTTTCTTTAAAGGTAAAGTGGATTGAGGCTGACCATCATAATTAACTAGCAGGTAGAGCCATATAGGTATCAGTAAGGGCATAATTTTTTTTTTTTTTTTTCCTGAAGTACTGACAGCTGCTTCAACTAGTTTGGGCAGGGAACCACAAAAAGGCCTCTAGTTCTAAGTAATTCACAATGGCTGGGAAAATGGTCCATTTTAGTGCTACCTGAGGGTGTTGTCTTTTTGAGCCAGTCTGCTTGGCATTTTGAAAGAAATGCCTGAAAGAGGGTTGGGTGTGACATTATTTCTTCCTGTAACAGCAACTGGTTAACAGGTTATAGGCTCATACAGTGATTTTGCTAATATTTGAAGACATGCAATTTTTTTCTGTTATATGAAGCTATATTTGGCATTTTATTACTCTTACTTTCTGCTCCAGAGAATCTTTGCCTAGCCTTCTCATTTTTGTATCTCCTTTTCCAAAACTGTGTCATTTCCTGGTCGTCTTAACAGGTCTTCTGATACTGCATCTATGCCGTGGGCACTGCCGTTTAGTAGTTCAGGTCCTGTCACTTCCTGCATTGACTAAGCTGATAACACCTTCTCTTCTTTTGTGCTGTATGACTAGTTCCAAGAAACAGTCCATTAAAAGCATAAAGAAAGTATTTTCCTAAACTTTGTCATATTGTGCCATATAACCTGCAAAAGCTATAAATGTAACTCTTGCAATAAACCATGACATTTGTCCTCACTAGAAGTTCTCTCAAGTGTTTTCAGCGATTAAGAATCCCATGAAGATCATGACATTGTTAGTGAGGCTTCCTCCGTCCTGATTTGAGAGTGATCTTTCTTGGTTCATAGTACAATTTTCTGTATGCTTTCCTCAAACTGGAGAGAAAAGAAGCCTTGTAATTAAAACATTGGATGAAAACTTCATCTAATTTCTATATTTAAAGTCTACTCACTTGGAGAAGTCAGTTAAAGCTAAAATACCTATGAACCAAGCTCCCTTTAAAAAATGTTCCATTCTGTTACTATGTCATATTTCCCCATCTGCAAAATGGGGGATCATACTCTGCTACAGTTCAAGTTCAGATATAAAGGACTAAGGACAAAAAGGGCATACAGTGTAGGCATTCTTCCACTGGATGAATACACTGGTATTTCTAACTGTAATATCCTCTTCTAAAGAGATGATAAAATTAAGTCTAAGAAAAGACAAAATGCCAAATTTACTAGCTGTAACTTACCACCATTTCTAGCTTTGCTCAAGAAACTTAAGCTTCGATGTGTTAATCAAAATGAGAACAGCCCCTCCAAACCTAAACATCCTGGCACCCCCTAAAAAAAAGTATCATCATCTAGTTCCATTCTTAATCAACTGATTTAAGCCTCACTTGATAAATGGCACATGCTGACTAATGAAGTAAAAAGTAGTCAAGCCACATGAGAATCACCTGTAATCAAAGTTGTGGTAATGAAATTAAGGCACAGAAAAACAACATACAAGAAATGCATGAAATATTCTCAGTAGCTTATAGCTATAAAAATATTAATATTAGGGTAATAATATAATAATTATATTCCTTTTACTATAAAAGGCCATGAAATGTGAGAATACAGCCTCCCTCTGAAAGCAGGCAACAGGACAGGTGCAAACTGTGCTTAAATGAGACCAGTAACCCCATGCTACACCTTTAATCAGGTTAGGAAGAACAAACTCAGATGCAAGGAGTTCTGGAATGTTTCTGTGGCTTGATAACGTTAAAAAGATTATGTCCCCACAACTGTCCAAAATGACCCAAATGCACAGATAGTGATCCAAATCCAACGATGACAGAAGCAATACTGTAAGTTACATGCAAGACGGAGTTGGACAACCCGTAGGTCTAACCTGCATGCCAGGGCAGGTTATACTGTGGTACACAACGTAGTGATTTATAACCAGGCATGCAGGAACAACTGCTACAAGGAAAACACAAAAAAAACCTAAGAGCTTTCTCCTATTTTCTCTCATTCCACCTTACTTGCTTGTGCATTATATATTTTGTGTGACTACTAAAACCCTTGCTGGTGCACTTTACAGCACTTTCCCACTATCTCTCTTTTCTGAGCAACTTGTCCCCAGTAAACTCACATTAGGTGTACATTTACATCTGAGTTCACTTATTCACCTTAAGGATGAAAAAATTTTAAGTACAAAATGATTAGCAATGCTTCTAAACCCATGCAGATGGAGATTAATTAAAGCAAGCTGATAACAGCACAATTTGAAAACGAAACCTAAGATTTTCTTGTGTCAAAAGAAATTATATAAAAGTGAGGAAGGGTCAAACTGAAAGCAAGGAAGTGTCAAACCTGGTGACTTCTATCTTACTGGTTTATTATAATTTAATGTAGTCTCATACTTACTTCAGTGTTTCATGTCTGTCTGGATGGTGCTGTATGACTTTGGCCAATGCATCATATTCTGAAAGAAATTTAAATAGTCTAAATAATTCTGAAAGTGTTGATTCAAGAATAAAAAATCAGGTACCAAAGAATGGTACAGATTACTAATTCTTAAAAAATTGCTTTAACATTTTTCAAATTTGTACATAACACCTTACATACATAAAAATGTACCTGCAAAAATACATATATAAAAATGTATATAATTTATACCATGCTATAACATTTCAAAATAGATGATTACATTGAAAGAGATTTTAAACAAACTACAGATATGATTGTAGGCCATTATCTACTCACTCAAATTTGCCCAGTGCTAGGGATTCATAAAGGATGAGGCCAGAAAACAGGACCTTTAGATAGCTCTGTATTGTTGCACATTTGGTCTTTTATGTATAATTCACAAGCATTAGTTTTACATACATTGTAATGTGTATGTACAGAAAATGGTGTTGATGTTACATGTTAACATTTAAGAATTTTAGAAAAAAGTATAAAATGCTGCATGAGAAACAACAGGATTTTTTAAAAACTATATTACACATTGAGATCAGTATTATGGTTATACAGGCAACAGCCATTTCCTGACAGTAAGATTGTACATATGTCAACTACCTCATTCGCATGGAAAAATCGGTGCTGCAGGCTGGACAGAACATATCAAAAAGCAAACACTTCAGACCTATGTTTCTGAAGACTTAAGAGCTCTATATTCCTATCGGTTGAGGTTCTTTTAATTTCCAGTTGAGTCTAAAATGATCAAACAGTTGTATTTAAAACCTCCATCTGTTATACTTTTAATCATTTTCTTTTTGCATTTATCAAGAAAAAACAAATTCTTGGTTCTCCTCAATTGTGAATGTTTTTATAAGACAGTATTACAGGAAAGTGCGTGAAGTTTCAATTGAAATTATCAGCACATACTTTTAAGAGTAGGGAAGAAATACACCTCTCATAACACTTATTCAGTAAGGATACATAGAGTTCTTGGGTATGTAACTGGCACCACTGACACTGTGTATGTCAAGACGTTACCTCCCCTTAAGAGCTGAAGGAACACACTTGCGTGATCTTCAGAGCTGGGTGTAAGTCTATTCAACTCCTGTCTCACTGTTCATAATGTGCTTTAGTTCTTCAAGTCACCTGAATTGCGATAGGATGCTTTTATGGTTTTTCACTGGCTTGAAAACATCTCTCTGAACTACTGTTTTAGGTTTTCCTGATGTTGCATGTCACTGAGATCTACCTGTTCAAACTTGCCTGTCTCATCAAAAACTTTCAGTAGTGGGTGTGGAACCCACCAGACTAAATATAGTATTCATTATGTGAGTATATTCTCTTGCACTTTCAAAAGTTTGGAATCTATTTTCAGATACAAGGTATTTTAAAAGATAACAAAATAATGAAACTGACCAGCATAAACATCAATATTGCTCCTTACCCTGGCGATTTTTTCGAATCCTTTTTGCTTGCAGGATTTGTTTTTTGCATTCAGAAATCTTCTCATGTGCTGCAGCTATACTATTTTCTTAAAAAAATAAAAAACCCAAAGAGTTATATTGAAATCAAACAATACACGTAAACAATCCATTCTAAATTATAAGAGCCATTTCTGACATGGTGGGCTGCTAGCTCCATCAGCTTCAGAACTACATACACTTCAATAGGTTAAAAAAGCTTTTATTTGTATGTATTTTATATACTCATAAGATGCTTACAGCATATGTATGAGTGCTATCAAGAGAAATAAAAAAGAAACTCAGACCACTCATCATATGTATATATTGTGTTCGCTGGCTCAAGCTTGTTCATAAAAAGAGAAATTGAAAAATAGAAAACAGTAGTATTTTCTATGTTACTATATTTTCTATATTCTTTACCTATATCCTTATAGATTTTTTCATAATTTTCCATTTCTCTCAGGTTCATATCATACACCAGTAGAGTTTTCCCCATTGAAAATTCACACTGTGATAAAGTACTCAGCATTCGTTGGTACTGGCTGTAACTGAAAACAGACAAGACATTTAATCCTAAGCAGCATAAAAATACACCTTACCTTTACAAGAGACAAGAAAACAAAGCCTCATGTAGCATAAGGGCAGTCAAATAAGAATTATTAAGTAAAGAAAATATTTCAAAGAGTCAATGTATAATTTTTTTGAAAGTGCAGTTATAAACATTGCACCCATTAATTCCACCATCATGTCCTTAAAGGTGCATGAGTAAGATGAGTATTAAAGCAATGGGCAGGTTGATCCAGGCATTATGAACTTCCCAGCTATGGCTGGCTCTGTGACCACCAAGATTAGTATTTTAATACTGCATAATACTGCAGTCCTTCTCTGTACACACAATTGTTATATTGTGTCCTCCAGGAATTTATATCCAGTACTAGTACGCACCCGGCAGCAGAACACCATGTTGTCACTCATCCCTTACTACTTTAGGCTGTTGTTGTTTTTTTGTTGGTTTTTTTTTTTTTTTTTTTTTAAAAAAAAAAAAAAAAAAGACTAAAGGGAACCACAGAGGCAGAAATAGCAGCAGTACTATCCTTCCCTAACAGAACAAGTGCAGAACTGCCAACTAAAATATACAAGTCACGATCCTGTTATAACAGTGGGACTCCCGGACGGATCACGCAGCGGCATGAGAATCCCGAGGGCATTCCAGTGGTACTGGCAGATTTCACGATACAGCCTGCAGCCTTCAGTAATTTCCAACCCATCTCTGTTCCTCATCTCCCACCCTAACGCTGGAAACACCACAGAGCCATATCGAAAAGCAGATGTATACATTTTAACATGTATGTTTTCAAAACGGATCAAGCCCAGTTTTCCACTGAAATACAAGCTGGTCAGTTCCAAGGTAAAAAAAAAAAAAAAAGCAAACAAACAAAAAAAAAAAAAAACCAAACACCAAAACAACAACAACAAAAAAACCCAAACAGAAAACAAATACCCTTCCTCTTGAGATCCGGAATTACACCACTTAATGAAACTCTTCACCAACAAATTGATCCGCCTGTCGTCACCAGCACCATCACCATCGATCAGGAGTCGCTTGCGGATAACTTCATCTGAGGAAAAAAACTCCTGCTTAAATGGCAGCCGCGTCCCCGACCCCCGCGCGGATTCCACCCCAGGGCCTTCAGGGAACGATTCCCGGGGCTAAACCGGGAGGATCTGTTAAAACAGCCGCCCCCCCGGGGCTGAGGGACCCGGCCGAGGCCCGGGCGTGCCCCGGCGCGGCGGGCCCGGGAGCGGGGCGGCGGGCTCGGGGCCGGGATGGCGGCCCGCCTGCGGGGTGAGAGGCCGGGGGTCGGGCTCGGGGAGAGGAGAGGAGAGGCCGGGGAGCGGGAAGCTCTTCCCCGCAGGGCGGCCGGGACCGGGGAAGGGAGGAAGGAAGGCGGGAGGGAGGTCTCACCGTCGGTCACGGCCCCCATGGCGGCGAGTGCCGGAGCCGGCGGGGCGGCGGCAGCAGCGAGTGAGGTCAGCTTCCCACAATGCAGCCGGCGAGAGCGGCGGCCATGGAGGGGGAGGCGGCGGCGGCGGCTGGGGCCTGAGCCGGCTGGCGGCGGACGCGGGGCCCGGCGGCGGCGGCGGCGGCAACGGGGAGGGCCGGCGGGCGAGGCCTGCGCCCCGCGTGGAACCGGCCCCCTGGCGAGGGGCGGCCCCGCCAGGTGAGGGGCCGACGGGGGAGGGAAGCGGCGGTCCCCGCAGCCAGGCTCCACCTCCCCGCCCCCGCCACCGCGCCCCCAGCCCCGCCGCCCCCCGCCCGGGCCGCCCCGCCATGCCCCCGGCACATGCTTCCCTCGCCCTCGACGCCCCAAGCCGCCGGGCTGAGGTCGCGCCTCGGCCGCCCTCCCGCCGCGCTCCTGCCCCGGAGCGTCCTCCCGGGGCTGGCCTCGCCATCCCCGTCCTCCCCTCGCCGGCCCAGGCCCCCGCCGTGATGGCGGCGACGCAGCGGGGAGCGCGGGTGGCCGGTCCCCGTGGCGGGAGGCAGCGGAGTGTGGAGGACGTGCCCGTGGCACTGGCATGAGGGAGCCGGGCTGGCCTCCCCTGGGCCACCCTCGGGCTCATCCCCGCTCGATGCCAGGAGGACAAGCAGGAGGGCCCGGGGTGTGAAAAAAAAAAAAAAAAAAAAAATCATTATTCTGATATGTTTCCTGGCGAGTTCGGCTGTCACCAGTGGATGGGAACAAAAGTTGTTTCTTCCTACCCTGAAAAATTAGGCTGACGCTGGGAAAAAAACGCTAGAGGTGTTGAGGGGGAAAAAAGGGATATTAAGGTGTTACCAATACCGTGTTGAGTTTTAGGCTTTTGGTTCACAGACTCTGACACTTGGGCGGTGCTAAAGCTGGCAGTGTTATTGTAGCATATATCATGGTACCTGAGAAATATGTCCAGAGGCTGACACCCTCCTATTCCCTCATCATTTTGGTTTGGACACTTAAGTAGCTTATGGACTTGTTCTGCTTAGCACTTTTCATTGACAATTTTAGGGTCCTGGGGAAAATCAGGGTAAGAAAAGAACAAAGCGAATGAGTGCTGTAATCTGTGCTTTCCTACTTTTAGAGCTGTGAGTGATTATGAGGTGCTTTTCTTGTTCTGGATAGCGTCCTTTAACAGCTATTTACGGATTTGTAGATTGTTTCAAGCCAGGACTTTGTCTTCAATAGGCAACTGGTCGGATTCTTGGGAAGGTGTTATCAGGGAAAGCATTACAGGGAGCAGTCATTAAAACTCTGCCTGAACTTTTGGGAATAAAGAGTTTCCAACATAGAAAACCTGTATAAGTGATTTTTGTTCTTGAAATTTTTATGTATTAGTAGGTGATTTGTGAGTGATATAATTTTATGTGAAAACCCAACTCTCTATGCAGTTATACAAAACTTGGGCCAAAGAACAGACCATGAATTCATGAGCTATGTAAGCATTATTAAAAATGCTCACTTTTATGAACTCTGAATTTGTTGCTGTTTTTAATGTAGTTGGTTTGACAAAAACCTTTGTTTTTCCTAACTCTTTGGTCATTGTGATATAGCCGTAGTGTTTTGTCAAAGGGTGAGAAGACCTAGCTGAACTTCTCTACACAGATGTTATACAGTGTGGTTTGTTGCTGCCTTTCCCTCTTTACCCGCTGATTACCTCTTGGAAGTCTTAAGTGTCTTGAAGCATCCAGTCTTATCAAGACTTAATATATTTCTTGCCCTTCCCTGAGCTCTTTTTGTTTTCTGAGCCCTTTCCATTTCAACCACAGAGAGAAGTTGATCTGAACCGAAGGCTTGTAGGTGAAAATCCACAATTATTTATTTAGCCACGTTAGAGTACTATGGTGTTATTTTCTGTCATTTAATCCAAGTTAATCTTTTCTCACTTTTTGTTCATCATTCCAGTGTTGGTCAGATAGTCTTATTAAACTCTCCACAGTGACAAATAGATAGTCCTTAAGTAATTAATTTAGAATACAGCAGTCCATATGATTAGTTAATAATATTTAATGACTTCTGTGCCATTCTTGTCTTCATATGTGTTACTAATTACAAAATTCTTACAGATCCTCTGTTCTGGGTCTTAGGCTCATAAGAACAATTTTGAGAACAAAGCCATTATTTTTCTTTTTAAGACAGGGCTCTCAGGCATCAGCCATGTTAATTAACTTTTCTCTTTTAGAATGGGAAGTAGAACTTGGTAAATACACCATCAAGAACCTCACTAAGGCTGTGTATTGATGTAATAGCCTGTTCTCTTTCCTGCTCTATTTTGCCATTTTAAACATCCACGAGATGTTTTTGCCCAGGAAGCCAGTTCCAGCTTGCTGGGTTTCTATACGCACTTGAGTCTTTGGAGTCTTCTTTTGATTTGCTCCATTTCCAAGTAGAGTTCCTCATGTTGTAAGTATGAAACAACCTTCCTTTCACGTGTATGCTGTGTGTGTTGCACGGGGCTGTATACTAGCATGTTTTTTCCATTAATTCAGTGTTATGTACGATGTAGATCTCTGGAGCAAGGTTGACCTACTCTTATTTATTTGTCCTTCACTAGTTCATGTATTCTGTGCAGATTCTATCAGCTACAGTCTTTTATATAATCCTTCAACCCACTGGCAGAAATACTGAGTAGCACTGGACCTTCCTTAAGGCATCAGTATCGGATGTTCATGCAATAGCACGAAATGTCTTGCACGGGGCATAGCACCTTACTCCGTGCCAGCTCTGTTGGAATATGTACCTGTGTGTGCAGGCTTTCAACCAAGCTCAATTTGATGTAGCTTTCCCTCTTTCCTTGAGTTCCTTTATGTGTGCCATATGGTAAGACCTTGAAGCAGCTTATACATAATAATTTGTTGCACACCTGTCCTTGTCAAAAGTGTTAAATGATCCTTTGTAATGTTTCCAGGTGACTCTGGATACAAGAAGTATATGCTAGGTAAGTTTAGTACTGCAAGATGTTACAAGTGTGTGGAACTGGCTCAGATTTTTCATTAGAGTTTTTTTGTCAAAAAGAATGGCTTTTAAGTACACCAGATTTTATTTTTTTTTAATTGAGGAAATCTGTTAATGTTGAAGTTTTCTTTCCTGAAAAAAAAAAAAATCTATGAGAGTCAAAGTTTAAAGTGACTTTATACCTCCTCCCCTTTTCTTTAACTGTGTGTATATATTTTTTTTTCCAACTGCAGAAAAAGTTAAAGGGGAAGAAGCTTTTTATAGTATTCCAAGCTATAGTGAGCTATGATTTTTAGAGCTAAGAAAACAGCTTTAACTATTGATGAGGTGGATTTAAAATATTTTTCCTAAGCCTCCCTAATAATTTATGAGGTGGTTTTAGATTCCAGGTTTTCTTCGTGTTGAATAACTTCTAAATCAGACTGTTGTGTGGCACTAAATCTTACAGAGATCTAAGTATAGTAGGTCAGAAACTACAAGGTATTTTTATCCAGTCCAACCTATATTCTTGTCAGAAAGCCATACTAAATATATTTAGTGAGACCTATTTTCTGTAAGCCTATGTTTAGCGTTACTTTTTACCACTGTCCTTTATTTCTTTGTTGATTGTGTACCATGATTTTGTGCAAGACTGATATCAAGCTAACCTATTGATGTCACCCCGTTTTCTCATTTTAAATTATGTCAGTGTTACATTTTCTTTTCAGTCTTCTTTAGCCTCAGTGTTTACTGAAAACTAGCATCGCTGTTTTAAGAACTTGTCATCTTGTTCTGTAAAAATTCTTGGACGCTGGCTGTCTAGTTCTGCAGATATTAAAATATTCACTTTTGGCAGATAAACCTGACATTTTTCAATGCAGTGATTGGGGTAAAAAAGTAGTAGGGTTTCTTTCTCTCTCTTTATTTTTTTTTTTTTTTTTAGATACTAAGCAATGTGGTTCTTAGCCTTGTAAAAAGCTTTCCTAAGATGGACCCTTGTGTTTCTGCAGAGCTAGCACATTTTCACAGAATTACAACATAACAAGAGAAGGGAGAGTGAAAATACTTGTTGCAACTGTAGTGACAATAACAATAATTTAAAAATGCAACATTTTATTATCTGAACAGTAATCAATTTTGCTGTCTACTGCCTATGTTACCAGGATTGATTAAGTGTACTGTTAATACCGTACTTTAAAACCCAGGCTCCTATCAGATAACAATGTAACAACAAGTTGTGGGGTACAGGATTGTTTTTACTTCTTATTTTTCACTTTGTAACTGAAAGAAGCCTGTAAAATTCCACAATTTTTGACAGAAAGCAGTTTGAAAAATGCAAGTACTAAAAATACTATGTTTGTTATAAAGACATTGTATTACTACTACTGCTTTTCTTGTGAAGGGAGACAAAACCTTATCTTAGTAATTAAAAAAAAAATAGTGCTGCATGGTCCTTTTAAATAACTTTTTCTGAAGGAAGGGCTCTGTCTGTTGGTTAATCCAGGTAATACAGATGGCATTCTGATATTGCCCTTTTTCAGATATCTTCACAGAACTTATGTAACAGCTTTGTACATTTCATATCTGGATCCTACTGAATATTTATGAAGCTGGAAGATTGATTATTGTACATTTTAAGGTGATCTGTCACTAATTTATTAAAGCTTGACAAACTCACATTGAAACTACACGATACTGGAAATGTAGGTATTCAGTGTAGAAAAATGAGTTTACAGGTGCAGGGATGTGCCCAGGAAACGAAAGCATGCCTTGCATGCATGTCAAGAGGTGCTTTAATTGAGGCAGTGTAATTACCAGAAGTTAAAAGTGGTATACTGGGTCATGATACCTATAGCCAGTGACTTGGTAGGTTCCCCCTTGGCAAGAAAGTCAAGGTGTTTTAACAGGCATCCCATGAAACTCAGTGTCATGAAACTGCTTCAAGACAGATTAGATGGTTAGATTTTTCTTTTAATCTAAAAATCGTTAACACCATAGACTTCAGCTGCCTGTGCAGTGCTTCAGAGATCCCACATGGTGTCTGCATTCCGTGATTTAAAATGACTGTCGGGTAATTTTAGGGTGGCATTTCATGTTTTGTGTATTTTGTAAGGAAGCAGCCATTTATTCTTTTGAAATTATTTTAATCAGGATTAGTCAATTATCTAGTAGCCTTTTAGTTTGCTGTCAGGATGTTTTCAGTGTGGCTTCCTTTTTTTTTTTTTTTTTTTTTTTAAGAAAAGAACAGCATATTTTTCTTTTTCCTTCCCCAGTCCTTCAATTCATGAATTTGGTAGCATTTACATTGTGCCCTGAAGATATCAGTGGCGTGCCAGAGTTTTCAGAGGAAGAGGTGGATGCTGAAGGAGGTTTTACACTGACTAAGAAGAATTTGTCTGTGTTGGCATCAGGCCAAATGGTAAATGTTTGTATTTAGCTGTGGCTTGAAACACTGGATGAACAATAAGAGAGTTGTGAATATTGTGTTTACTTGTATCATGTTTAAATATATAACTGTTAGTGCTACTGAGGAAATTTTGCAAAAAGGTTACAAGGGA